GCTGGCCCATTCCTCTGTCATGTCTAGGGCCCTCTGAATGTCAGCACTGCCCTCCAGAGTATTGACTGACCCCTTCAGATTTGGCATCATCTGCAAACCTGTTGAGGATTAATTGCCTCGTCCACCAGGTCACCAAAAAAGACTGACAAAAATGATGTTCATAGAAAGTATCTCCTGTCTACGTTATAATTAAGTTCCTTCTTCTATTGCTTGTTCTCTGTACACTCACCTGTGGAAGAAAATTCGGACGAGGAGTAAGTCTGGGAGGAGGGATGAACTGCGGCACTTTTATGGGCTGAGGCGTGGCCTGAACCTGCTATAAGAACATAAGAGAGTTCAGTAAGAGGAAAATGGCTTTGAAGTTGTTCACCAAAATCAACATCCTGAATGTATTTTCAGACCTGATGTCCCTGGTTTTCCACTCTGGAAATAATTCTTCACAGTAACAGGATGCTCATTAGAAATGTATTAAGACAGAGCTAATCTTGCTTTCCGGTTCCTACACACCTTACACTTCATAAATTGAAGGGATCCTTCCTTTTAGTTCAATTGTACTAAATAGAATCACAGAATGGTTTGGGTTGGAAGGGACCTTAAAGATCATCCAGTTCCAACCCCCCTGCCATCAGCAGGGACACCTTCCACTAGACCAGGTTGCTCAAAGCCTCATCCAACCTGGCCTTGAACACTTCCAGGGAGGAGCAGCCACAGCTTCTCTGGGCAACCTGTTCCAGTGTCTGACCACCCTCACAGTGAAGAGCTTCTTAATAATATCTCATCTAAACCTCCCCTCTTTCAGCTTAAAGCCATTTCCCCTTGTTCTGTCATTAACTGCCCTTATGAAAAGTCCCTCCCCAGCTTTCTTGTAGGCCCCCTTCAGGTACTGGGAGGCCGCTATAAGATCTCCCTGGAGCCTTCTCTTCTCCAGGCTGAACAGCCCCAACTCTTTCAGCCTGTCTTCATAGGAGAGGTGCTCCAGCCCTCGGAGCACCTCTGTGCTCTGCAATCTAAAACCATTTCATCTGAAGATAATGAAAACTCCTATTTAATAGTTAAAAACTGGCTTTACAGAAGACAGAAAATACCAACAGACTTTGGTGTCCCGCTATATGAACAGCTGTCCTTCCATACTGGATGGCATACAGAAGAATGAAAGAGCATCTCATACAAATAGAAAAGATCTGGAAGTTACAACTCATTTAGCAATATTAATGACGCTATGAGAGGCTCTAAATACACAACTTGAAATTTTCCAAAGTAGGCCTTTCATTTGAAACAATTAAGATTTGATTGGAAGGCACCCTAAATACTTCCCGGTCTAACTGAAATCAGTCGGATAGAGCTGCCACATGATTAACCTCTGAATGGCACTACTAGCTCCCCTAAGTTGAGAACCTGGTGAGATTCTCTGAAACTAATGTCCACGTTAGTTTCCACCCTTCTGTACTTCTGTCCACCCACATAAGATTGCAATTTCCTTCAAAAAGGTCATGTACTGATTAATTAATGCTTGGGAAAATATTCTGAGATGTTTTTATTAAATTTGCTACAGAAACATAAATCATGGACTATTATTAAAACAGAATCACTTCTCCAAACCTAAGTAAGTTATTCAGCAAAGAAATGAAGCACAGACACAAAGAACAGAGGAGAGTGGTGCAAGGGATGACATGGGAAAAGAGAACAGAAGAAAAAACTCCACTCAAATAGCCTTCTCTGTTCTGACAGCAAACATACGTCTCATTAGGAAGCAAAATTACTTCCATTTGCATTACTAAACTGTATTTTTTAATAAATATAAATTGGATTTACGTTTAGTGAAGCCTTAACCTTTACTTCAGAAGTAAAATTCCCTGTCATGATGCTATACAATGCCTGTTTTCCAGACCAAGAAGCCTACATAACCCAATTCTAAAACATTACTACTTTTACTTCTAGGTGACTAACTATTCTGGAAAAGATTTTGGGCTGTAATCAAAGCACTTTCCAAAATACACCCTTAATGAAACAGGTTCTGTATACGTGTATGAAAAAGTGGTGAGTGAAGACATGGCAGCGGGCAGAGTTAAATGATGTGTCTGACACCAGAGACTTTATCACACAAAGGGAGTGAGGAAGACTGACTCAAAAAAATCTAAGATGAAAACCCAAACTGACCAAATGAAGAAAGTCTGACACCTCCTTTACCAAAGAAGAGTAGGAATTCTGCAGAACACAGCCACATAGATTAGGTAGGGGCAAAACAATCGCTGCTTCCCCATGTCTAACAATTACTAACAGGGGAAACTTCACACAGAGGTGATGATAACACTGATTTAATTATTAGAGCAAAACACTAATAACAACCCAAGTAGACAGTAAATGTTTTTCTCTTAGACTATCATTTTAATAAAGTCAGCTAGTGAAGACTCATGGCATGTCCCTACTATTCTTTCTGTGCAAAAACCTGACTGTTCATTTATTTTTTTTCCAATAGCCCTCTTGTACCCTAAACCCACACGTATCTGCAGGGCAAACACATGAAACGCTTACCAAAGTTACTGTGTTTTTTGCCACTATTTGGACTGCCTCAGCTCCTGGCCCAGTGACCTTATTTGTTGTCTGGAGGTTGACTGGTGCATTCTGCGCATCAGTGCTGAGGACTGCTTTCTGATTGTTGTTGATAGCAGTAACCATGGCAATGGTGGGTCTCTGACCCACAACAGAGGCAGGCATGGTCGCAGTTGCTGCTTTCAAGACGAGAGGTAGTGTCTTAGTGGTGATCATAGAAGCTGTAGTTACAGTTTTCTAAGGGAAACAGAAAAAAACACTGTAAGAGACAGAGACACTTCATATCAGACAGGACGTGGGTTGGTTAGTCAGAAACAATAGACAGTAAGAGAAAGAAAAGGCAGCACTGAGTCTACCTACTGTTCAGACAAAGACATTATCTTACACCTCTGAAAACTGGATAGCTAGACATTTGGGGTACCTGTTAGGTCTATTTTCATCACTTGCAGCATTACAGATTGATTCAAAACCAATTCCCAAGAAAATGACAATCAAGTGTTAGTAGTGGCAGATGCATTTTTAGATCTTTTAGTTTCATATTACTTCTGAACACATACTGTCAATATCAAACCTATAAACCTCTATGAAACATACCAGCAAAGTAGCTTCTCACCAGTTAAAACTCAAAGTTTCAAATGGAAACTTTATTTACAGAGACCCTCACAATCAGAGGAAGAGTGGGGGAAAAACTCATAAACTAGTTTCTTTAAGAGCAAAAATGTACTTTGATTTTTGGGTATCCCAAATTTCAGTTTTACTCATACATACAGTTATTTATCCCTTAACTTTCTTTCCTAAGAATATCAGTAGGGCTATCTTGAAGTTGTAAGAGCTGGCTGTTGGTCTGTACAGCTGAAGGCAATTAAGTTTAACATCTGTGGAATGGAGTGGTTTTGGAACATATATGTGATGCCATGATTGCTCTTGGTCTGTTTTAAAGAGAGTGGTTTTGAATCACTTAATGCCAGCATTTATCTGAAATGTCTGAATACACTATGCCCACAAATTCCAAAGTTAAAACAAGTACAATTTCATGGTTTTGTTTTAAAATGTACTGTCTTCTAAGGTGTTAAGACAAATGCACAATTATGAATCTCATTCAAAAAGTAACAAGGCAAGAGAGTCTCCATATAAAAACAGAACACAATGTGCACAGAAACTCATGACGAGTGACACAACAGAATGGTAAGTGAGCTTATTCTTTCCTCTTTGGTGTAAAAAATCCATTGTACCAATGGTGCTGTGTCTTCAAAACAGTTACTGGCACAATCAACTGCTCTTAGGATGAAATAACCACCATTCCCTCCTGATGTCAGCACTAGGCTCTACAAGAGGAAACAATGGAAAACTAGGGATTCTTTTTTGTGTTCTGAACATGCCCGATTTAGAACGCTTGATTTTAATCACCCGAGACCTTTCTCTTCTTTCTAATAAAATAACATATTTCCAGTTGGATTCTTCATTATTTTCACCAATATTATTTCCTTAAACAAAAATGCCGTTTACCCTCACACCTATAATCTCACAATCCTTAAACTACATCCTCTGTTAATTACACACACGTGTGAAAAAAAAATCAACTGTATAATGTCTAATCAAAGGACAATTCATGCTTCAATTCTATATTTATACAGACATGAAAATCTAGACGTAATTAACTTTTCCTTGTCGCAACAAGAACAATTCCCTTAACTTTTTATCTGAGATTAAAGAACTTTTTCTTGACCTCTGCTGTACCTTCTTCCAAAGCACAAGGCTCCGTTCCCCTAACGCAGTAACATTATGAAGCTTTTCCAATGAGATGTAACATTTTCACCAAGTATTGCACTCATCTATAAACGTTTTAAAAAAAAGTGTAATCAACCAATTAATAAAAGACTGTGACTCTTTCAAGGGGTTCTAGTAAGTCTGTAAGTTCTAAGAGTATAGCTTCAGTCAGCAGATCACAGAGTTTGAATATCGCTGTTACTTTGCTGAGCTTTAATTACCTTGGTTATTCTAAAAAGTTTATAAAGCATGAATTCATACTGAGGTGGCATTCATAGTTAAGTCTGCCTTGTTTAATGTAATAATGTTGCAATAATAAGATCTTCTAGTAGGCTTGCTGCTTGATGAAAAACTTAAAAGCCTTTCTTACTGGACTATAATAAGTATATTAAAATGTCACTATTAAGGCAGTATATATGCCTTGATTCCTAAATTGAATTACTCTGAAAATAACCATTGAAAGCATTCTCTTTACTGACCCAGCCTTAAAGATGTATTATTTACAAAAGTAGGCACCAAAAAACTTTCTAGAGGGACAAAATATTTTACTTTTCTTCGCTGAAGGAGATTGAGGGGCAACAGGGCAGAGGTACAACTTTAGATGCAAAATGTGAGAATGCAGAAGCAAGTGAGGTTACTTCAGAATTATACCAACATAAATAAAAATAGAAAAGTGTTCAGGCTAAAAGCTGGCTTATTTATTCAAATTAGAAGATGACCTGCCTTTCAGTTTATAATTACTTTCCAAGTACAGCTGTATCAATGAGAGTCAGAAGGGTGTAGCAGTTTTTTGACTGTTTCACTAGAGGGCTCTTTAACTTTGAACAAAACCTCAATTTTTACAGCCCGGGAGATGACCTGGAAGTTAATGAACGAATGCAAAGTGTGGAACACAGAGAAATGCATGAAACAGCTTTTGCAGTCGTATGTCCTGACTGAAAAACGGAGCCTAGTGAGACAGCAAATACCGATCCATTGTTTCCCTGTAAATATTTTAGGACATAGTCATGTTTACTTCTTTATTCTGTGTTAGCCTTGATATAGAAGTTGTTGCTCAAAAATGACTTTTCCTTAGTTAAGTTTGGTTCATTTCGTCTATATTCTTTTATCAAAAATACAATTACCTAAGTCTCTCAAATATGTTTTTAGACAGCATCCAAAACAACTTGTTGAGCTCATGAGAAAACTAACAGCCCAACCATTTCTTCCTCCTCTATTTCCAGGAAAAGGGAAGACAAGAACCACAATTGGTCAAAGCTATGGTTGTGATTCACTGCAATGTGCATAAAGCAAACCTCGTGGGTCAAGTTTACCTGGCCTAATCAGGGTAAACATGAGCTACTGAGATGGCATCAATGAGAAAAAAGACCTCACATACACTTCTTTTTACAAAACACCTCCCTGCATTTTCTTGCTGTTCATTAGCATACTCTGGGGATTCTGAATATTTGAACAGGAGAGACTTTGAACCAGCTTGGAACTTCCCTCTCAGTAACAGGAGACCACTTTCTCTGGTGATTTCTGGGATCATGTCTCTAATTCTATACTGCACTGAAATTCACTGTATCTTCCCAATAAAGACACTATTTTCTAAAATTCAAACTTTCTAATTACCTTTGTTTACTTTTAGACCAACCCTTGAAGACTCAGCTAAGTATTATTTGATATGAGTTACATCTGTTTAAAAAGAACCAAGCAGAAAGAAGAGGGAACTGTTTTCTTATATTTTGATCACAGATACAGTGAATGCTCTGTTAGTCTTTTAAAAATAAATTATTTTAATCATATGCCTTGTACATGTAAAGTCTTTATTGTTTCCTGAGACTTACTGGGTACAGACAGACAATCATTCATGCACCTCCAGAAAAGAGAGGTTCATTTGCTAAACTTTCAATTATTTTTAAGAAAGGTGATACTGCCAGCCTTCTTTTCTGTGAGGTTATGATCTGACTTTTAAATACTAAATATTTTTTTTTACTCAGATAGAAGATTATTACTGAAAAAACCCCCAAGATCCACATTTACATACCCACACAAGGAGAAATTCATACTGGGACACGAATGGGCCTAAGTGAAAGTTTGTCATTTGCTCTCTGCACTTTTCTTTGCTTCTTTTTTTTTTTAGTGAACTTCACCTTCAGCAAAAGAAAAAAAAACATTTCAGACATTTTTACCTGTGATCCAATCACGTTTGGAGAGGGTGCAGTTGACTGCTGCTGCTGTTGATGGTGATGTTGCTGAAGCTGCTGTAGTGGTTGTGGTTGTGGTGTCTGTAGTTTGTTTTCCGACTGTGCCAAGGGCTGTATTTGAAACTTACTATCTGGCTGTTCCTGCTTCACTATCAAATTCTTTCGAAGCTGTTCCACCACTCTTTTCTACCAGGTAAACAAAAACATAAACAGAAATGATCACAGTTGTTTAGCTGCACATACTGGAGAAGATAATAACACCTAAAGTTACATTTATTTAATATAAATAAAGAACTGCTCAGAAGCTTAATGGGATTTCTCTTTTTGGAATTTTAAATATTGATGTTATCTAATGGGCAGAGTGTCAAAATAGGCCTCAGAGGAGTGCTGCTGCCCAGCAGGGTGACCTTACTGTCCTTGGAGAAACCCACCCATCCAAATTCAGCCTCTTCACAAACCACTGCAAGACCTCATTAACCTATATTCACTTGAGACTTGTTAGCATTCAAATTCCAAAGTTTCTGTCTTCTTCAAACATGCACCATTCCTACACAGTCATGAAAAAAGACTTCAGGTTGAAGCCTCAAGGCTGACTTCAAGGCAATGGAGATACAATTTTGTACCAGGCATCAAAACTGAGTGGAGACACAGACAGTTTGAGTGCAAAGTGGGGAAGAGGAAGGGTATGGATGTGTGGTCATCCTGTTAAAGTCACCTGAAAGAAAATCAGAAAGGACTACCTAAGTGGGAATCATAGAATTTCAGAATCGTAGTTGTTGGAAAAGACCTTTAAGATCAGTCTCCTTCTCTGGAGACATTCAAGACCCGCCTGGACGCCTTCCTGTGTGATCTCGTTTAGGTTCCTGCTCCGGCAGGGGGACTGGACTGGATGATCTTTCGAGGTCCCTTCCAATCCCTGACATTCTGTGATTCTGTGATCATTAAGTCCAGCCATGAACCCAACACTACCAATTCCACCTCTAAACCATGTCCCTCAGCACCTCGTCTACCCGTCTTTTAAATACCATGAGGGAAGGTGACTCCACCACCTCCCTGGGCAGCCTGTTCCAATATTTGACTGCCCTTCTGGTGAAGAAGTTTTTCCTCATATCCAACCTAAACCTGTCCTGGTGCAACCTGAGCCCATTTCCTCTCGTTCTATCGCTTGTTACCTGGAAGAAGAGACTGACTCCCACCTCTCCACACTCTCAGGTAGATGTAGAGAGCAAGAAGGTCTCCCCTCAGCCTCCTCTTCTCCAGGCTAAACAACCCCAGTTCCCTCAGCTGCTCCTCACAGGACTTGTTCTCCAGGCCCTTCACCAGTTTCGTTGCCCTTAAGGAAGGAACCTGCACAGATTTATTTCTCCCAGCTTAAAGGCTCCCTATTATATCATAGCTTCCAGGAAAGTTTGAAATTATTTAAAAAATAAGTTTCTTCTCCCTGTAGCCATTGTGCATCTTTAGATGGTGTATCTTTAGACAGTAAACTCAACAGATTTTAAGAGCAGACCAGGTGACCTGCAGGATAAGATAACATGTTGTCACATGGATAATAAGGGCTCACAATTTCTGTTCATAACACATTTTAGCGTAGACGGGGGTGAAAATACCATGAGACTCTTTTTACCTTTTGCAGGCATGATAGAAAATGAGCATTTTTTTCCTAAACTCCAACCACCCCCAAATTAGGACAGGTTTAAAAAGATTTAGATACTTAAGCCCCCTTGATCAAGAACATATGTGCACTCCAGAACAGTTACATGATAAAGCTGGCTTTGGAAGAGGACAAAAAGGTCAACAGACATGGTAAGGGTTCAACTAAGAAAGTTCTAGTGGAAACAGAAATGATCAGGAAACCTCTACCAGAGCCAGCCCTACATAGAAAGGAAAAGAAAAAAACCATTCTGGCAATATCAAACAGTTTGATCTTTGTTTTGAAGCATTAGTATTAAGATGCAGTACAAAACAGAGGCGGAATGAAAAAAAAATCCAGCTATTTACAACCAACTGAAACAATTTTTCCCCTCAAATTTCTTTCACACGGGATTATGAAATTCTGAGATAACAAAATACCTGTTCTCTGCATTGTTATACTTTAGACTTTTGATTCTCAGTATCTTGCTTATGATGAGTTAAAAGTACATGGTGCCTCGCACACTGAACGTGTACCTCCAGCCCAGAAGAAGACAACAAAAGGCGCGGGGTCCTAAATCAGCAGATTTGAGAACTAGAACTTCAAAAAGCCAAATACAACACGTCATCAATGAAAAAACCACCTCTGTTTCACAAGGTTGAAATGTGTGAGTTCACATGACTGACCTTTCTGCAAAAGACCGAATTCAGTGACTCAGAGGTGTACAGAAGGAGGACTGCCTGGCTTCTCCAAACCCCCAGCCCTGGCTGGGGATGCACGCTCAGCTCTGAAGGCAGGAGAAACACAGGCCCATCCTCACCCAAAATTCAGGGAGTTTGTAATGGACAGCAGGGCGAAGGAACTATTTTACACTGCAACCAGAAAAGTGATAAAAGCTGTCAAAGCCTAAAAGCTGTAAATTGTTTGTTCCCTTCTAGAACAAGCAGAAAATAATAGGAGTGTAGAAGGCATTTTTCTAATTCAGATATTTTACATAGTCTTAAACGGCCTGTGTCTATCAGCTCATTCGTACACGTAGTAACTGAACAGTCATTTAAAATCACTTCCTGAAAAGATCAAGCACATTAACATGCAAATCAAAGTGCCGTGTCAGCAAGCAGATAAAAGAGCTGAAAAAACATTTCCAGAGAGTAACCCGAGGGGGAGGAGAGGAGAATGGAACAAAGTAGGAGAGGAAATAATGCAAAATGCCTACAGAATACCTGCCAAAAAATGGACTGCACATGCACTGCACTAAAGAGTTCCTGTACCCGGCACGAACAGGAAGGGAGTTTTTGTCTTTCCACAACTGCCTGTATGAAATTCAGTGACAACGGTGCTCTTCCACTGATTCCCTCACTGGACGAAATCATCAGCAATGGCCCAAGAATTCCTTTCCATCTTGTTCTTTATAATGGGAGGGAATATTACTGAAAGGATTTAAAAAAAAAAAAAATTTAAAAAGAGAGAGAGTAGTGGGAGAAGGAGGCTGGAGGACTCCACTGCCATACTGCTATGGCAGGCGAGAGCCAGCGAGGAGGGGAGCAGGAGCGAGGTGAGTCACATCACATTCACACAATGCCTGTTCCACCCCCAGGCCTGAACCATGGCACGAAGAGCTGGGAAAAAAAAGGGACTGGAGTGCAACTTTTATCAGCTCCTTGCACAAAAACTGAGGCTCAGCATGTTTGGCACAAGATGGATAACGTGAGTGGAAAAGCGCCGCTGCTCTGGAAGTCTACGCTAGCCTGTGAGAGGCTGCTGAGAGCTGCCTGGCAGCAGCGTACCTGCCATCCGCATCCATTATGCAGATATTAAATTGGAAGAAACGTCGAATGCTTTTAAGATTCAGAGAGTAAAACTGAAGTTTGCAGTGCATGCCAATTGCTTACGCAGTTTATTAAGCTGCTTCGACTGACTGTCAGTAAAAACACCACGCTGAAACTACAGAAATCATTTTACTATCTGCAAGCCTGTTGGGATTATCTGTTTGTTGGTATTTATCGAGGGGCTCTGAAAAGCCCCTCATATTCCAAAATTACTGAGCTTAATCAGCAAAACCAGACGAGACTCTCGCACTCTGACTCTGTGCACCTACACAGGAACTAAGAGCAGATCTCCACCTGCTTTCAGCACTATCCTCTGCTGTGTCCTCCTCTGCACGGTCTCAGCCCACGCTGTCGGTCTGACACCGTCCTGCTGGAACTGCTGCTCCGCCACCGCACGAGAGCCCCGGCACGTGTCTGCAGCAATGTTAGCAGAGCCTTGCTTTGCAGGGAATTAAACAGGAGGGCAGTATGAAAGGAACTCTTGTCTACTGTCAGACTTGATACTTCATTAAAACGGTATTTTTAAATTGTTCTTGAGTTATGTGACTGTTCGGAATCAATTCTGAAGGTGGTTTCTGCTGCACAAAGTACAATCTGTATGACTGAAATTTGCCAAGGCTGGTATAAAGTTCAAGCTATGACTACCAGTGAGACTGAGGTTATCTAAAAGCACCACAAAACTCTTAAGAGATATTCCTAATTCTTTAAATCTAATAATTGCCATCTTTCCTTCCCATTCTTATTTAAGAATTTTTAATTAAATTCTTACTGACAAATTCAAAATTTTAAATTGAGATTAATTCAATCATAAACACATCATCATAAAAACATGAGTTTTCTGCATGTCAGAAAGCTTTAACCCTCCTTGAATTCCTCAAATAGTTTATTTTTCTGCAACACTGCATGTAAATGTAGGAAAAAGCATTTGTCTCTCAAGCATTTGTCTCTCAAGTTTACTGAATCTTCCTCAAAGCTGAATGCCAATCCTCCCCTTACATCCAGAACACGAAAGAAATTACTAATCACATCCTAGTGCTAATCTCATCAAGGGCCGGTCACAACTCTGAGTGCACAGAGCCCTAGACATCTTATATGACCCTTTTTTAAAGGTATTAATTGTAATCAATATTGTGACATTTAGTGACACCACTTTCTCATTCATGCCACAGGCCAGATCCTAACACAGCATTAGAAGATTATTTTGGTTTGATGAAGCAGAAAATCTGCCTCTACATCTTGTTGGCCATGTATCTGTGCCAAAAGGTGTCTTCTCTGTGCTCGTGTGAAAAACTACCATGATAATTCCACTACAAGATAAGGAAAGTCCTTGGAGCAAACTTAAAGCTTAGTAAGGTTTAAGTATATAACATTATCAGCTAAGCATTATTTCAATTTTAATCTTCAATCAATCAATAACAAAGTAGTTCTCTGAGTACAGCAATTAGATCCCTCCTTATATTTGGTGACACGTTTTCTTCTTCATCCAGCAAACACATGCAGAAAAGCATACCTATCTAAAGGAGGGTTGGTGGTTAAACGTCAAAAATCTATACAAATTAAAATATAAAAATCTTCTAAAAATGAGAGAAAAAAGTAAAGCCTTGCAATGCATACCCTTTATATCACAAAAACAAAGCTGATGTGGTTTGAATTGTTCAACTGCCTGCTAGTTACCCGCTTTCCTGCTCCACCCATTCCTGGAAGTCAGCTATTAGGGATCCTCT